TGCGGTTGGGGTGGGCGTGGGCCGGGGGCGGTGGCCGTCGGTGGTGGCCATCGGTGGTGGCCGTTGGTGGCCGTCGGTGGCCTGGCAGCGCCCGGGGCGAGGTTCTGTCCTACACTCCGGCTGTGGCTATGGGCAGTCAGTGCATCACAGAACTTGGTCCCGGGAGCTCGGGAGCACCCGGATCGACGGGGACGGGGACAGGGATGGGGACAGGGACCCCCCGGCCTGGCCCTGCAGCGGCCACCACCTGGGACCCCCTCGCCAGGACGGGGGTGCCGGACACAGGCTCCTTCCTGGTGTCCTCAGTGCCACCGAGGCGGTGTTTGGGTGACAGGGGGGTGGTGCGGTGACACAGGATGTCCCCCCTCGCTGGGCTGGGGGTGCCCCTGTCCCTGGGAATGGGGTGGCAGTGGGGTGACGGTGGCCGTGTCCCTGCAGGAGCCGTCCCTCTACACCGTCAAAGCCGTCATCATCCTGGACAACGATGGCGACCGGCTCTTTGCCAAGGTGAGGGGCACGGCAAGGGTGATGGTGACACACGAGGTGTGGGGATGGGGACAGGGACGGGGTCACCGCTCCAGGGAGACGTGGGGACAGGGGGACACTCGGTGGCACCGGGATGGCTGGGATGCAATTCAGGGCAGAGACGTGGAGGCCACAGGGGGCACGTTGGGGTGGCATGTGGCATGGACAAGGGGAAGTTTGGTGGCCCAGGGCAGGGACAGGGGTGTGGGGACAGGGTTGGTGGCCCAGAGCAGGGTCAGGGGAGCTCCTTGGGGCCTGGTGGGGGGGGTCCCCACGTGCCACTGTCCCTGCAGTACTACGATGACACGTACCCCAGCGCCAAGGAGCAGAAAGCCTTCGAGAAGAACATCTTCAACAAGACCCACCGCACCGACAGTGCGTGTTTCGGGGATGGGGACGTGCGTGTCCCCTGGGGGGGGCTGCCACCCCCGCGGGGACACCGGGGCCATGCCGGGGGGCCCGCAGGGGTGACGCCAGGCTGTGCCCGCAGGCGAGATCGCGCTGCTCGAGGGGCTGACCGTCGTCTACAAGAGCAGCATCGACCTCTACTTCTACGTCATCGGCAGCTCCCACGAGAACGAGGTGGCTGGGGACACCCAGGGGTGACAGGGCTGGGGTGGACACCCAGGGGTGGTGGGTTGGGGACACCAGGGTGGCGGGCTGGGGACGTGGAGGGATAACAGGACAGGGAGGGGACACAGAAGGTGCCACCAGGCCTGTGGGGGGGGCACCTCGGGGTGTCCCCATCTGGCAGTGCCACCGTGTGACCCTGCTGTCCCCCAGCTGATGCTCACGGCCGTCCTCAACTGCCTCTTCGACTCGCTCAGCCAGATGCTGCGGTACGACGGGTCCTGGGGGGGGCCACCCATGGCCCTGGGGGGCTACCCGTGGCCCTGGGGGGGCACCCATGGTCCTGGGGGGGGCCACCTGTGGTCCTGGGGGGGGCACCCATGGGTCCTAGGGGGTAGCCATTGGTCCTGGAGGGCCCCCAAATT